GAAGTAATCAAGAATTAGAAAAACAAATTAAGTGAAATCAACTATTTTGTAAAGCAGAATATTCTTGTGTGCATCTACACTGAATTGTGCGAAAGTGAAATGTGCGAAACTGAAATGTGCGAAACTGAACTGTGCGACACTGAACTGTGCGACACTGAACTGTGCGACACTGAACTGTGCGACACTGAACTGTGTGACACTGAACTGTGCGTAAAAGAACTGTCCAATTGAACAAACGCTGATTTAGAAAAATTTATTATTTATAAATTAACAAAATTTCCAAACAGGGCTCTACATGCATACGCGTGTGTCTGTGTGTTTTAAATTATATTTCGATAACCTGTGTCCAAACGCAACGGTGTCCAATTGTACGGTGCGCAAAAGAACTGTGTCCAAATGAACTGTGCGCAAAAGAACTGTGCGCAAATGAACTGTGCGCAACATTATGTGTCCAATAGCATTGTGTGCAATTGCAACGTGTCCAATTGTACTGTGCGCAATTGAGCCTCTCCCAATATAGATAGTGTTTACGGTGTTTATTTCAGCAACAATGGAACGATGATTGGTATCAAACGTATCGATTTGGATAAGAACGATGATATAATCGTAGATGGAAAAAAGTATGCTGGTACACAAGGTCTTTACGAACTGATTTTCAAACAATTTCCTGAAGAAGATAGTTATACAAATTCTGATAAATGCAACTACAAAAGTATACTTTTGGCAACAAATGCACATAGACGTGATCACAACATGCATAATCCTGTAAAGAGTAACAAGGGACACAAGTATAGAAATATAATTGCACCCTTGCTAAAAGGTGTTGGAGAAGGTATGCCGTGTACCATGACGCTAAACAACAACAAGATCGATTATGTTCATTGGGACGATCCCAACGAGCTTGTAGATCGTTTTCGATTGCTTGAGGCCTCTCGCCAAGCGGGTCACAATGATCACGATAACGAAATCATGTCGATCATCGAAGAACTCCGCGAGGCTGGACTTATTATAAATTAAACTGCGTGTGAGTGATTCAACCAATTGACAACGAAATGCCGATCAACAAGTTTGGAATATCGCTCGGAAGAAGTGGAACGGATTCGTACTATCAATATAGCGGATTAATTAGAAACTACGTTCGCGATAACGCTCTTTGTGTGGTTGCGACAGATTTTGATGCAAAGTCATGCAAAATTCGACGCGTAGCGCTGCCTGTAGATGATGACGATGCTGTCAACAAACGGTACGTTCAACAGAACATACAAATTTTGAAAGATCGACAGGATGAGAAGGAGAGGAAGATAGTAACGCACCAAAATAGCATGCAGAATATGATAAACGAACTTCACGAAATGATTCAGCGTATGACTCATCGCCAATAAGTTAAATCTCTCCATTACGCGAACGTGTTGTGTTCCCGATCAACATACGATCGATCCTCGTTCCATTCCCGTTCAACGTACGTTACGCAAACGTGTGTTCCCGATCGACATACGATCGATCCCCGTTCCGTTCCCGTTCAACGTACGTTACGCGAACGTGTGTTCCCCGATCGGCGTACAGTCGATCCTCGTTCCGTTCGATATACGTTCGGTCCCTGTTCCGTTCCCCGTTTAAAATCATTTGCTCATTGCTGAAAGGACAACATCTGAGAAGCGACAATTAGTGAAGGAACTGCACGCTCCAGCGAGAAGAAATTTTCCGCGAAGACGTGTCATAGTGCGCGGGTACGACGACCTGTGGCAAGCTGATGTAGTTGAGATGCGTCCTTAAACGCGATTTAACAGAGGCTACCACTACATACTTACTGTTATCGATGTGCTGAGCAAGCATGCATGGGTCGTACCGCTCAAGGCCAAGAGCGGATGCGAAGTTACTGCGGCAATCGCAAAGATAATTCGGGTCGATGGAAGATGTCCGAAAAATTTACAAACTGGCAATGGAAAGGAATTTTACAATGCGAACGTGCAGAAACTCTTGAAGAAACATAACATTAACCATTATTCTACCTATTCCGTGATGAAGGCATCGGTCGTCGAACGATTCAATCGCACGCTAAAGAACGATATGTGGAAGATGTTTACATTAAATGGAAACTATAGATGGATCGACGCACTGTCACGTCTCGTATCAGATTACAACGCGCGAAAGCATCGGACTATAGGTATGCGGCCCATCGACGTCACGCCCGCGATCGCTGACAAACTGTTGACGACGGTGTACAGCCGCGTAAAGATTGCTGCACCCGCACGATTCAGATTGAGTGACCCTGTGTACGCGTGAGTAAATTTAAGACCGTCTTTGAAAAAGGTTACGCACCAAATTGGTCGACGGAGGTGTTTAAAATCGGCAAAGTACAGAAAACTAATCCCGTGACGTATATACTGGAGGATTCCTGTGGAAAACCCATCGCTGGAGGATTCTATGAACACGAGTTACATTGCGTAGCTAATCCCGATGTGTACCTCGTTGAGAAAGTGTTGCGGAAAAGAGGAAATGAGGTTTACGTGAAATGGCTGGGACTTGATAAATCACATAATTCATGGATATGCACGGATAATGTTTTGTAAACATACATTTATTGTAATATCTATGCTGATTACATGTCTTATATAAATAAATGATAAAATATTTACAATGGCATACATTTATTATACATGTCTTACAAATAATATGATTTTATAAAATATTTACAATGATATACATTTATTATAATCTATGTTGATAAAATATATCTATGCTGATTACAAATAAAATGAATTTATAAAAATGAATTTATAAAATATTTACAATGGTATTTTATAATGTCCCCATGGCAGCGTTTCTGTAGAATCGGGCACAACGTATCGCTTGTCATCGTACGGACTCAGAGCGATTTTCGTTTCGGCTACAGTGTACACCTCATGCAGCTTCGATCTTATACAAGTCTGTTGGCGTGTCTTTTCTATCTCATCGTTGAGACACCGCGTGTAATCGTCGAACGTTATCGTTCGCGCTACCACGTTACTCTTTACGCCTTTAGCCTTCTTTGTATCTTTCTTACCGTCTACCCTCAACGCGTACATCTTCGCTCTGAGTCCTACGAATTCCGTCATTATCGCACCATTATTCTCATCTTTCATTAAACCAGGCACTTTTTTATTAACAAGTGGAATATCGTACGCGTTATCTGTCGGATAATCGCTCGTGTCGAATCTGTGTATATCGCGTTTCACAGTCTCATATACATCCTCGCACTTGACGTGGTATATGAGACTGTCAGTATCAGTATACATGATTCTACACTTGTCACTGTACAGGGGCAGCATGTATTCATGGTGAAATTCATACAAGCAGATCTTGGATAGCAGGTCGAGAATGCACATACCCACGTAGATTGGCTTGTTGAATTTCACTTCGAGTTTTCACAATTCCACGGCGAGTAAATTTTCTGAAAAGATGCTGCGACTATGAAAATTTGGTTTCGAGATCATCGCCTCCGCACCGTAACGACCATCCCACTTTGTTAGAAGTTTTGACGTCGACATGATTCCGTACATTTTCCATTGTTTTGCCAAATACCGCGTTGTTCATTAATTTGTATAAATTTTTTTCGAAATCATTT